GACACGGGCATGGCTTCTCTCACCGCGGAGATCAATCTGCTCAAGGAACAGGTGATAAGCTTGTGCCGCTGCTGGCTGCTTCCCTTCGTTTTTGCAACTGACCGGCCGCCGCTGTTTTCATTTTTTTGTGGTTAAAAACAAAAAAAATACCGACAGAGAGCCTTGTTCGTGTTGTCGTCGTCTTGTTTGGCTGCTTTGTTCTTGTGTGGCACCCACTACGTTGTTTCTCGTGTGAGCCCATCGCGGAATGTCTAGTGTAACGTAATGTGCGAAATGTGTCTAGTGTAATGTAATGTACAGATAGCACCCCCACGTAATTGTCTACTGTGGTATAATGTACACATAGTGCCCCCACGTAAATGTCTAGTGTGATGTAATGTACAGATACAGATGGCACTCCCACGTAAAAACGTGTAGTCTAGTCTAGTGTTACAGATCGCGCCCCCACGCAAGAACTTGAGCACCATTTACGAGCCCGGTTAAGAACCGCTACGCTAAAACCTATGTACTGTGTGGCCATTTTTAGCCCGCAAGAGGAACGGAGAACCCGAGCCCCGGCAAAAGCTATTGTAGAGGTTCTCAAGTGCGGGGACAGTCTGTGGCTAAAATAGTCAATGGCGACGACACGATGCAGGCACGAAAGACCTACAAATATGCCAGGACGAGACATTCCCGTGCCGTGCGAGCGCGGAGCGGCGGAGCGGGGCAAGGCACAGCGGTTGTGTATCCCTCTTGAGACACCACGCCCGTACGCCAGCCTTGCACATGTGCTGACCTCGGCTGCCTGAACCTCTTCCTTTCTTGGTCACACTCTCGCCGCCGCACAGCTCATGAACGCTAGCAGAGAGTCCTCGGAGTTCCGGGCGGAGCTTGTGGAGGCCAGGATGAAGGCTCAGCAGGTAACTAGCTGTCATGTGTTTGGTCGTTTTATAATCGATTGTTGTTTTCTACTCGTTTTTGCTATCTCCCCCCCCTCCTGACTAGCCTGGGCCGGCGAAACACACGGTTTATCGCGCCGTCCCGGCACGATGCGAGATCAATGATCTAACGACTACGGTATCCATCTACATGAGTATCCCCCTCCCCCCCCCC